ACTAGTTTCACAAAGATCCGATCGAATAACCGAAGGTTCGAGTCCCATTGTTGACACCACATTTCCTCCATTCCTTTCAACACATGAAGTGTTTCCAGTTTCCTGCACTTCCCAATTTGTGACCCTGGAATATTAGAACACGATACTATCATTCACGTGAGGGCTAATCTATCAATCAACGGTTTCCCTGAGAGAGTAAGTATTTTTAATACATTGATATTGCTTTTTAGAAAATACCTTATTTTTTAATTCAATTTTACCTAAGAGTACGTAATCACGCATCATTGGCATCAATAATAGTATGGTGATTTTTTACGTTTCTTCTATAGGAATTTGTGTGATTTTTCCATTAATTTTGTTTCTCAGTACATGACTTATTTTTTTTATTTAAATTACAGTTGATAAATAATCATTTAGTTTTATAGATTCACGTTTTAAACGCTTAACTATAAGCAAAATAAAGACGTGGTTTCAAATAACTTTAGAAATACTAATTTGGTGACGTAATTCACCAATGCTATCATGTTCATGCTGCTATTGAGTTCATCTGACATAACGTCTAAAAATAATTAAATATTAGAGAGTTTGCGATCTGCAAAAATCTTTTTTTAGCTTGTTGTAAGTTCTAAAATATTTCAAAGAAAAAGCTCGTCTGCAGCAGTTGTTCATTAATGGCGAGTTGTAAATCAATAAAAAATTCTATTTTTTACATGGCTCTGGGAACGAACTAATAGAAAATTTTAAATGAATTCTAGGATCGGAAGCAAAATTTGTCTCTTCATTTAAGAGTTTTGTCACTTCATTAAAAATCTCATGTCTAACTTTTGTTTCCATAAATCACATGCATATTTTAAAGAGAAATTTTTTTAACCTGCCTATTTAAAAAAGTAAAATTTTGTTCAATTTTAAATAAAGTTCTGAAACTTTTTACATCTATTAACTCTTTTAAAGAATTTTTTCCCGGCATATTTCTAGAAAACTTTTGAATACAGAACTAGTATGAATTCTATGAAACTTTTAATGAAAAAACTAGTTTCACAAAGATATTCGAGGTTTGTAGGATTGTAATTATGCATTTAAATTTTCTTTCTTTCCTCACATCGTCTTTTGGAATTTGAGAGCATCGAAATTCAAGCTCGTTCTATTAGACTAGAAATAGATACCATGCGCGTGTAAAATAGCTTTGATTCAAATTTGTCTTGCGTGAAAAATATTTTCGAAAAGTCCAATCTAAACATTTTGAAATTTGCTCGCTCTTTTCTTTAATACTTTTTGGAGTTTCGAAAACATATTTTTCTACTTTTTCTCCAGATGCAGTGGTCGTAATTGCTTTGATTTTTAAAGCTATAATTTATAGCAAAGATTCGGGAAAGAGTTGAAAAAATGGTCTAAAATAAAGCATTTTTAACCCTTTGATATCGATGGGATACCGGTAGCTCTTTTTTATATACTTTCCTTCTGCACGATACTTGTAAGTAAAAATAAATTTTGGTATTTTTTAATTAGCCAAAAAAACAGTCTAATAGTTACTAAAAATATCTGTTAGGTTATTGGAATTATATTTGTACTAAAACATAAAATCCGAAGAAAGTAATTAAAGAAAATTTCTTCCTTTTCATTCATATTCAAGAATTTATCAATAATTGATTTTCTAAATTTAAGAAATTTCAATCAGGAATAACTGTTTTTGTTAGATCTAAATAACTGCAAATGGGAAAAAATTTTCTTTGGAAGTGAGCTTGTTTGAAAGATTTTACCTACATCACGGAGAAAAAAACACCTTTGTTTCATGCTTTATTTCATATTAATCCTTAAATTTCTAAGATGCTAATTTTAATATTTTCCCCTTATTTTGACCTAAATTAATGCAAAAAAATGGAAAAAATTAGAAAATTCTGCGACAAAGGAATAAGGCGGAAAATAATGAAACTTAAAAATCGTAAACCTCGCACTGTTTAGGGTGATCACTACGTTATATTTTATTTTGTTTTCCAAACACCATGAGACTCAAAAACTTGAAAATATAAATTTCAATTGAATGAAACATTTAAACCTTTCACAATTATTCGTAGACATATTGATTGTTAAACTTCTTGTAGAAAATACCAAAATCTCTGCAATCACAGAAATGCAATTGCATCGTTGACTTTGAACGTAACAAGCTAGTTTTATCTGTGTAAATGCAATTTTCTCTTTCAAAACTCGAATTGTAATTTTAAATGTTCCTTTCACAAGTTTTTTCTCTCTTTTTGCTTCAAACAATGACCATATTATCCTTTGTTGCAAAGAGAAGTAGATTTCTCACGAGATTTTTGAAGTTATACTTCTTATGCGACTTCCAACAAGGTTGCGTTAAGCGTTTAACGCTACATTTTTATTGGCCGGGAAATCACGTGGTAGGATCCAGTTTTCCCTCATTCATTTCCAAATTGTTTTGGTTCTCACTAGCATAAAAATAATAAAAGTCATAAAAGTATTGTTTTTCTATAAATATTGTTTTTGTTTGTCTTGATACACATATAATTTAATAGGGTAGTATTTTTTATTTTCAAATTTAGTGGATAACAATTGTAAGAAATGAGTGAAAACAATCCCACTGACAATGCGACGGATTTAAGGTTCTGTCAATGTACGTCTCTTGTGAATATCAATGGATTGTTAGGTTTTCTCTTTTGAAATTACATTATGACGCATTCACATACATTATTAATGCAAATACATTTTCCATGGCTAGACGATGAGGCAACCACAAGCACTTTCACTGGTTCAATAGGTCCACGAGGGAAGAATGCACAATATTACCGTTATTACAGAGCACGGAAGCGAGCGGAGCAGGAAAAGAGTCGTTGAATAGAACTAGTGATTCTTCTACGACTGCTGATTCTTCTACAATTAACGTCGCAGGTTACGAAGTTTAACTTCCTCCGCGCGGAGGGACTCCACGCACTATTTTTTTTAATTTTATATCAGCTCGCTCTTCTATTTTGTAGTTGAAAATAAAAACAAAATAATTAAAAAACAACGTTTACAGACCAACAACTTTTCTATGATTTCGCATCAAGAGGTAAGAAATAAAATATTGAGCTCAACTTGCAGGAATCAAGTTTATGTAGTCTTAGTCAAGTTTCAAACATTATGTTTATTTTCATTTGTCATGTTTATTTTCATTTGTCATGTTTATTTTCATTTGTCATGTTTATTTTCATTTCTTCATGTTTCTATGATTTCGCACCAAGAGGTAAGAAATAAAATATTGAGCTCAACTTGCAGGAATCAAGTTTATGTAGTCTTAGTTAATTTTCAAACATCGTGTTTATTTTATACAATTTTGTTATAGTGTGTTGCAAGAAGTTCTTAATACTTTTTAAAGCAAAAGATGATACAGTGGTATGTTTCATGTTATCATCACAATTTGAAAACCATCGACTTTCTCTAACCTATAGAGAAATGACAATACGAGATTCTATTTATTCACTGGAAGCTATTTATTGCTATTTCAAAGTTATTTATTGCTTAAACCAATCTCTATGCATGGTGAAGTAAATTTGCCCAGAAATTAATAAACGAAATAGTAAATGGTAGTAAGATTTTCTTTCCTGAAATATTAACAAGGAACCGAAATGCTCTCCTTTCTCGATTTCTCGCTATTCGGGGTAAATAGAAGTTGTCTTGCCGTATTAAGTGTGTTATTTCTGGAATTTATTTATAAAGTTTATATATTCATTTTCATTTACCTGGTACATATTGTACTTTAAAAGCTTTCAAAATTCGTTTTGTTAGATATATGCTTTTAGAAACATAAGTTAAACCAAATATCACTGAAAATATATACAATTTCGCTCTTTTGCTTAAATAAACAAATAAAATGAAGAAGGAAAATTAAAGGAATAGGGTTCGTACGGTTCTTGAAAATATTAAAAAGTTGTCAATATTGCTATTAAAAAGTTATACATTTCATTTTCAGCTTTCACTTTAAAATTAAAAATATCAAATCTAAGTATTTATCTACTTAAGATATTTATCTGAAAAAACTAAGCGTGTAGGTGAATACAAATTTATAAAAATACGATTTATTTTCTTACTTTATTTACAATTTTATAATTTATTTAATGATTGTGTGAACCGTGAAAGAAAAAAAGCATAACTGGTGGCACAATCATTTAATGATTAGCTTTTATCTCGCCAAAATAAAAGGTGAGTGACCATTACAAGAGATAAACCTACAGTTTGGAAAGATAATCATTAAATTATAAATTTTTAATAATTCACTGGCAGTTTACATAAAATAAATTTATTTAATATATATTGTCATTCCTTTCATAATAGCACTTTTCACATCATTTTAAAGGGAAAATTCGTGCTTTAATGACAATTTATTACGTACATAAGATGTTATTTCTAGATTTTAATTTAATCTTTATCACCCAGCCTTTTATCAGAACAGGCGAAATTTTCATGAAAAAGGTAAACAGTGACATTAACATGATTACATTGTTCACATTATTCTTGGTTAAGCAAATTATTTGTATTCACCATAAAACAGTCATAAAATTTTTTTTTCATGGTTACGAAATTATGTGGACGTTCTTTCTTTTTAACTAAAAAATGTTGTTAACGTTCACTCAGTTAAAAGTAAGCATCTAAGCACTTTCTAAATGGAATGAAATTTCACATGATATCAGTATTAAAACTTGTGTGCTAGTGTATATGTTACAGGCAAAGTTTGAAATCAGGAATTCTATAGAATACCTAAAACCAGCCGGCAATGTACGAAACAATTTATATTTCACACATTTCCTAGGCATTCTATAGAATGCCAAATGAGAAACAGGCAAAGTATAAAATCTTCTGTGGCCATGTTAATTAAGGTGATGAAATGAATATTTTGTGGAAAAATTTTTCTAAACTGAAAAGAATTGTGACATAAATATGAGCATCTTGTTTCCCACAATAAGAAAGACATAAATTATGTTTTGTACAACTTTCATTTTTCTTTTCGCATTTTGAATAAATTTTTTTTAATGGCACTCTCATTATTTTTTCAGAATAAAATTTTTATTTTTGAGAAATGAACATTATTTACATAATAACCTCATCAGTATGTTTTTTTCATACTTTGCCTAAATAGCATTTGTCATTCTATAAAATGCCTAGGTATTTTATACAATGCCTAGGGAAAGTATGTAATACTTCTCACATTTCATACTTTTCCTAAAAACATCCGGCATTATATACAATGCTTAGGCATTCTATATAATACCGGCGTTTCATACTTTGCGGTAACATATATACCTAATTTTTCTGAAAGTAACAGTTGCGTTCTTCGAATAATACAAATTTTNTTTATACTAATTTTTATTTACTAATATAAGTTGATATTGATAAAACGATATGATGAAAAAATTTCATTCTTCTCTCATTCGCTGAATATTTTCAAAACAAATAATGAAATTTAGTTCAATCGCATTTAGGAAATATTTTTGTACATAAAATTGTAAAATGTAAATTGCTTTCACATTTTAAAGACTAAAACAAATATTAATTCACGCATTGATTTTAAATATTTTTTAATAGGTGAAAACTTTTAAACATTACACTGTACAGTAAAATCTCCTAAATTTACGGTAAAAAAAAATTTGTCAATTGGTGTTCCAGTATCAAACCGTTTTTTTCACAGAAAAATACTGTTATTTAAAAATCTTTTTTTTTAATGTTGAATTTAAATTCTGTATTTTTCAAAAGCATTGCGTTTTGCATTAATGAAATTCATTTATAAGGAAAATATTCAGGAATTCATCAGACATTAGACACTAATGAAAAAAAAATACAGTACCGCTCAAAAGTATTAGTACACCTAGAAACTTATAAAAAAATGGCAAAATTCAAAGTGTCATAACTTCTTTAAAAATGATCAAAAATGCTTCTGCTTTAGCTCATTTTGAAGCTTAAAATCTCTACTTTTATGTACTCTAATTGTTTTTAATTAATATATGTTGTAACTATGTACAATCACACTCTAAGCAATCACAGAAAATTGTATTAATTTTTTGTGAAGCTTGACGCGATGCACGGGCACAAAGGGGTTAGATATTGTTAATTTTTATTATACCATTGAAAAATTTGGACTTTTAGCTTTCATTTAAAAAAAAATTCCAAAAAAACATGTTTTTTGACGAAGTTATTGTCAAATAAAAAAAAAGGTTTTTTTTCAGAATTTAATGATTTTTCAGCAATTATAATGAATTTTAGTGTAATTATAATATGATATGAAAATTTTTTAATTAAAATAAATTAAAATTTAATATTTCTCGATAATATTATTTCATAATTTATTATAACAATTTTAACTTTTTTTTTTGGAAAATATAATAATGAAATAAGAATCAACGTTTACAATTTAATATTTTGAAAATTATTTTTTCGTATTTTTCTCAGAAAAAATTTGAAAACAAAAATGTATGTGCATTTTAGTTTTCAAATTGTTGCGTGACGTCAACAATTGTTGCGTCAAGTGACTGTTGCAGCTAAGCAGGAAAAAATCTTAACTTTGTTACAGAGCGTTCGTTATTTTACTAGCGTTTAATCCAAAACATTGCAAAAAATAAAGCCTGTTGCGCATTAAAAATTGTCAAATTAACTCCCTTTTTGTGTCAACTTCATCAATGAAGTAAAGGCATAAACGGTAGGTAAGGGACTGTAATTTTTTTAGTAAACTCTCTTGTCTTTATTTTGTACTAAAATACTGGAAATTGATAATTTAATATAATAAAGGAAGTGTTTAAAATGGTCTACGTTAAGAAGCATTTTTCCTTCCGTTTGAACTCAGTTGTCAAAGGGATGGAGACAGGGAGGGAAAATTCTGAATAAATTTTAATTCTTTATTTAATTTTCACAAATAAACTAACGATACTTTATTCGTTACTATTTTCAAGAATATGTAAAATACAGGGAAGTCACTCGAACACAACTTCAGATATTAGGAGTGGGATATTTAAAGCTCGCTATTTCTTTTATATATATATATTTTTGTTGTTGATAAAATTATATGAATACAATTCTGTAATCAGCATGTTTAAAAAGGTAGTTTTATTTTAGAAGGGTAATTAAGTAATTAGATAGCAAACATTTTTCTGTTTTCTGTCTTTTGATAGATTTGTTTTTTTCAAAATGTATGTTAAAATTTTTTTTTAGTTTCCTCCGAATTGGTTTTCATTAATTTAATTCAAGTCTAATAAATTAAATTTAATGAAATAATATGAAAATACAATTGTGTAGTTTTAATTTTCTTACTCAAAACTACAAATAATATAGTTTGCTTTTAATTTTACCTCATTGAAAAAAAATTATAGAAGTTCTAAATGTTGCCATGTACAATATTTTCCCATGACGCCTTTATTATAAATCTTGTCTGATACATAGCGCTGTAGAATGACACTCTGTCACCAAATGTTTATTAATTACAAACGAAATAAAAATTAGAATAAAATTCAAGATGCCATGGTGCAAGGTCTTGGAAGCAATATATATGTTGAATGGCATTTTGAATTTAGTGTATTAAATACGAAATAAAAAAATATAATTTAAGGATAACATTTTGAATTATAGGATACATATCATAGTCAAATGCTGAAATATATTAAAGTTTACGTTCTATTTTGTTACATTTTTATTACATTCTTTTTTATGTTTTACTTTTTTATAATTTTTTTTCTCAATTTTCTTCTAATTTCATTCTGAATTTCATCAAATTGTATTTTGCAGCTTTAAGGAGTTTTTTTTTATAATGCTCATCCGTTTTCATGTCTTACTTTTTTTAAAAACATTTTTCTCAATTTCCTTCTAATTTCACTCCAAATTTCATACAATTTTATTTCTCTGCTTTAAGAAGGTATTTTTAATATTCTCTCATTATCATCAAATCTTTGTACAACTATTTCAAAAGATGCCCGATATTAATGTTATTAAAGTTGTATTACATTTCATTTAGGACTTTTCCATATAAAAGTTGCGCAGTTCATAAAAAAGTTTCCTTTTCAAAAAAAAAAAAACTCTTTAATGGTACAATTCGTTTCTCATCAATGGGTACAATTTAAAGGAGCTTAAAATATTTTTTGCGTACAAATCCACTTAAGAGAAACATGGTTTAATGAAAAAGTTTATAAAGTATAACAGAATGATTGGATTTATAGTGCTTAAGATAAAAAATAACTTTAATAACTTTTGATGTAATAAACGTTTTTTCTTGTACTAAACTCAATTTATTATATGGTTTCATTCATATTACAAACAATTTCTAAAAATTGAAAGTTATTCAGCGTTTTTTTAATTTTTAAAGATTCTTTCAGTACAAGCCAATCTATGGATAAAAGCAGTACTGTTCAATATAAAAAGATATATTTGAAATAATACATCTTATCATTTCTTTGAATAAAAATACAGCTCTCTATTGAGCTGAAATAAAGATTTGAAATAATGGTCTCGTTGGGTTTAATGGTTCTAGTTTTGATAATGCAATCCGAGATATATTGAATTTGACATTTGCAAAACTGCATTTAATCTGTATTCTTATAAGACCTGATGTTTTTTTAGAGCACGACAGTAAAAGAAAGATAAAATTCATAACTACGAAAAGTCAATCTAATATTGTTTCAACAGAAAAGATTACAAACTACGAATTGGATTAAAATTTATGGTCCAGTCAACAGAGATCCAAAATTGACGTTAAACTGGAAAAATTGGCTGGAGATTTCATTTTTTACATATTTGTGTTTTTTTGGGATGCTGAATACAAATCCGCACTTTGCGACTAGAATATTTTTTTTGAGGGAGGGGATGTGTTTTTTATCGGGAAGAACTTGAAAAAATCGTTTTATTTTATTTGTATGTGTCTTTTATAGATTAATGTAGAAAACTTCTGATGACATATTTGAAAGCTAGAAAAAATTTCTTGCAAATCTGTACCTGCATTTTGTCCGCAGTTACACATCAATAAACTTTACAAACTCGGGAAAGGTGATTTTTGCAATTGAATGATGTCTCTCTGAATAATGAACCGCAAAATGTGTAGAAAATAATTATTAGAGGTTTGGAATTGTATAACAATTCTCTTGTCAGGCTATGTATAAAAAAAAAGCATTCACAGCTTCAAAGGACATTTCCCCGACCCTCCCTCCTTCTTTAAAATCCCCCCAAAATCATAATTTTCAGGATTTTTTCAATTTGTAATGTTTTCTAAATTTTTTCTCAGTTTAACTTTGGAATAAACCTCATGTGAGTATTTCCATCCTCCTCATCAATTCACTTCCAATCTTTTCCATTTACCGTCCTTTTTAATCCTTTTGTACATCTTCCTAATGAAAATAATTTCCTTAAAAACTCTCGGATAACTTATGATTTTCAGTCTTTCTCTTTCAATTTTTAAGTTAATAAAGTTCGGAATGTGAATTTTTTATCATAATTTTATA